AGCATTAGCAATGACAGTAGTAGCAGCATTAGTAGTAGTCGTAGAATGTAAAAACACTGAGTAGAATAAATTAGCGTACGGATATTTTCGTATTCTGGTCTTCGAAGACAGAGTCACCAGCTATCCCTCAGCATAACCTATAAAAACGCTTCAATATTCACAGGTGGCAAGTGCGTTTCCGAGAGGCAATATTATTACGACAGAAACATACAACTGCAATCATCACGGTTTTACGAAATCAGCCATCATTTTCTTCTTCAGTTTCGTAAGGGCTGCGACTCTCTTGAACAGTAGATGAGTGCTCTACGTAAGCCATTCATCTGCCAAATAAAAATAGGTAAACAATCTTATATCGGCGTGGGGCTCCGTTTGTAACCGAACCGAGTCTTGTCCTCGGACGTTTTACCTAGCAAAAGGCTGAAGGGAAAAGCCAACATTTTCGACTGGTCAGGTTCAGGAAGAAAGACACTTTACCGGTCATAGTGAAACGGAAGATCGGCCTGTTGACGCGTGCACCAGTCAGTGGTAAAGTAATATGGTCTGCAGGTTTTCTCACCTGCTGTGGGCCACGACGTGAACATTTTTCGAAATGACATCGAACTATCCACCAACAGATGACGTGGTCGCTGAATTTGTAGTCTAAGCTTTCCAGCTGATAATAGGTCAGTATAGGTCAGTATATTTTAAGAGTAATAGGCAATACCTTTAAAAACCCTACTGTAAACTGTATATACAATATTTCACTTTAAATAATCACGGTACTGAAATGTTGTCAGTAATATACACATTTAACAGAATATTTTCCACGAAAATGTAGAACCAAAACTTGAGAACATTCAGTTGTAGATGATTTCAGTAAAATGTAATGACAGTGATCCGCATTAGCGGTATGAGTATGCAAGGCGCTGGTTTAGCACCACAGAGCTGTTCTGTCCAGACTAGCGATAGTGTACAAGCAAATATGCATCGATTCTTTTCTTGAACGTCTCCGTGGTATCCGCCATTATTACGTCCTGGGGAAGCCCGTTCCAGGCACCGACGACTCGCTGTGAAAAACAGTATTTGCGAACGTCCAGGCAGCATCGGGATCCTCTAAGTTTTAGAGAGTTCCCACGCAGGTTTTTTGTTGTAGCCATGGTGAAGAAATCGTCGGGGTTTAGGGCACATTTCCGGTTCCTCAATATCCGATAGGCCTTTATGAGATCTCCTAAAACCTGCCTGTACTCAAGAGGAAAAAGTTTAAGTTCCCTAAGTCGGCAGTTGTAAGATAAAGTCCTGAGGCATTTTTCAATTTTTGTTGCTCTCCTCTGAACTCTTTCTAGCAACTTATTGTCTTTTTTAAGCCACGGGCGCCACGCTCGGATTCCATATTCCAGATGCGAGCGAATGAACGCTCCGTATACTTTTCCAAATAACTCTTTGTCGTTTAATGACAAAGAGAACACTAGTTGCTCTTTTGGACGCCCTAACACACTGAGATGAAGGCTTAAGGATCGACAGAATGTTAATCCCAAGATCTTTTTGTTCGGTTACATTTGAAAGGCACCTTCCAACAAGTTGGTAATGGTGATTGTCTCCGTCAGATTTTCCAGTCGTTTTGAGTCGCAGCGCGACGCACTTCTCTAGGTTAATCTTTCGCAGCCATTTATTTGACCATTCGCATAGGCGGTTCAGTCCTTCTTGCAGGGCCCGTTCATCATGTTCGCCTTTGATCGCTCGGCATAACTTGATGTCATCATAAGCAACTGGGTTTCGGTCTGAAGTATCCTTTCGCACAAGACTCCAGTTCGTAGGGAAAGGAAACGCAGTATAGGACCACATATAAACAAATGATAATCAATCAGATCTAGGGGTGTGGGGAGCTATAACCTTGCTATTCGGCCGTCATTAAACGCAGACATAATAGACTGTAATTGTTAACCCTAGGTGCAAGCAACTGAAAGCATAACATTAGTAGGAAACCTCTGGATAAGGCATCATTTGGAATGCAGAAATAAAATTACCAATAAGCGTACAATCAAGAGTAATTTACAGTAGCGCTGTTCTTCGTTTATGCCATTTCTACAACATGCCACCTCATCATCTTTTCTTCTGCGAGGTCTGTAGAGGAACACCGACGCTACACTTCACATTTTTATTATTTCAAAGTCGTTTTGACGTCCTGTAGGGTTGCTTGGAAATCTTCACATCGCATGAAAAGGTAATAATGCTTGTTAT